TTAAATTATTTAGAACAATGTATTGTGCATTCTTTGCAATGCATATACAATGCATTCTTTGCTATGTATGTAATGTAGGTCATTTTATAAACTTAACTTTTAATGAGTACTATTACTTGTGAAGTTAATGTTTTCTTTTATTGATATACAACTTTGTTAATGTCTTCTTTTCTTAATACATAACTTTATATAATAAGAATTATATCATGTGACTTGTTTTTAATTTTAATTTTTTTTAATATTTATTGTGGTAACGTATTTTTCTTTTTAAGTGATTATATTACATCATTATTATTAATAAACTCTACTAAGTAATATTTTAATTTTTTATTCATAACAAGTAAGTCATTCTTTTTTTTTATTTTTCAAAGCAAGCAATTCTAATGATTTTTTAAATAACCCACTTTTAAGTTGAAGATCAAATGATTTGGAATCTTCACATTAAGTATAAGAAGTATAAGATGTTGACGTATAGTTGTTATACTTAATTTTTTATATATTAAATTCATTAACCAGTGAGACATGATCAATTTTTAGTAAACTATATTTTTACTAATCTTTTTAAGTTCATTATATAAATCATGAAATGCTTTAAGTAATTTATCATATGATAAAAAAGTTTCGGGAGAATCAAATTTCTCATTATTGAAAGTCATTAAAATAAAATTTATCACTGCTTTTTTATTGATTTGCTCTTTACTTAATTTATTAATATTATTTTGAGTACTTTCTTTTTCTTTTGGATTGATGATTTTTTTTTTAATTATAGATAGTCAGGTTTGAAGTATTCTAACTTTTTACACTTATAGCATATGACTGTATCTTTCTTAGGCTCACTTTTATTCTTAACTTATTTTCTTACTAGATTTATCCTATTTATCTTATGAATTTTCTGAATCTTTTTATAAGAAGTGTCATATCTTCATCATCATTAAAGAGAAATATTATTTCATAGCTCATTAAAGTGTCATATCTTCTTCTTCTTCATCAATCTTTTCGAGAGTAATATATTTCCTTTTCTTTAGAATTTTTTATATATTATTTTATAAGTCATTAAAGATCCTATAAATTCTTTCATAGAAATATTATTCAAATCTTTAGTTTCTTTGATTACTGTTACCTTTGGATCCTAGCTTTTAGAAAGTAACCTTAAGATCTTATTCACCAATTCAAGATTAGTATAATTTTTACCAAGATCTTTTAATCCATTGAAAACATCCATAAAATGGGTCTATATGTCATCAATAGATTTGCTTAGCTTCAATTTAAATAATTCATAATTATGAATTAAAAAATTAAATTCTTTTATTATACTTATGTTTTCGTGAGTGACTTTAAATGTGTGTCATATATCTTGTACAATGTCATAAGTAGAAACTTATTTTCAAAATAAAACATTCTCTAAATCATAAAATAAATATATTTTGTTTTCAAAATAAAACTCGATTGAACTTATTTTTATATAAATCATAAAATAAAAAAAATTCATAACTTTAGCATTTAAAGAAAAATTCTCTTTTGAAAATCATTCCTTGTTTTAGAATATTTTTAAAAATTAAATTCGATAATATTTTAAAAATTAAAATCTATAAGAAGTAAGAAAATCCTCGATCGTGTTTTCCTATAGGTATAATCCATCTCATTGAATATAAGAGGATATGCGATAGGCTGTATCTTTTGATTACTTAAAAATACCATTATTTCTCTCTTAGGTATTAATCCAAATGAGAGAACCTCTGATACCAATTATCTAGACCATAATGACACTTTGAGGGGGATGAATTAATACAATAGTAATTTTAATTAATTTTAAGGCTCAATTAATAAATTAATATATTTTAAAATTTTGATTAATAAAGTGAAATCTATATGTAAAGAGAATAAAACGAAGTTATAAATAGAGGACAAGTAAAAAGTGATAAACCAATTTATAGTGCTTTAGTCTTTCCGATCTATGTCTACTCCCGATTTCTCTTCCCTTAAGGCTATTAGTTTTCACCGTTGATCTTCTTTCCAACAGGAGAAGATCATCTACTCTTATTATAATTGTCTTCTTTTTTAAACAAATGAGATAACCTTCACCCTCCCTTCTTACACAAGATCTCTTATCTTCTACAAGTTAGAATTATAACCAAACTCAAAATGAGGAGGAGACTTAAACTATATTCAAAATAAGAGCTTATAATTATTTACTAGGTTAGGAATGGATGTTATATCAATCAAACTAAAATGAGATATTTATAGGCTCAAAAGACTTGAAGAATAAAGTAAAAAAATTAAATCCTCAAATTTTGAAGATATAAGCGATACTACCATCGGTATTGAGCAGTACTATTATCATAACTATGATGTTGTAAATCTGAACACTAGCAATACTATCGTCAGCCTAGGTAATACTATCTCCAGCAAAGATAGTACCATTGTCAGAAAGGTTAACAAAACATAAACAATCCTTATCGACTAACTCAAGCAATACTATAGCTTAGGCCTATTGGTACTACTGCCCATGCTTAGTTTAGGCCACTAGTTTGGCCTTATAATAAGCCTAATTCAGTTTAGCTTTAGTTCCAATGTCTTTATTGATAAGTGACCTTTATTTTGACCTAATGCCCGCTTAAATTGATCTAAAATAACCTCGATTAGGACCTTAACAAATCAACCATACATCCGGCATATTTACAAAGCTTTGAGCATGTTGTATGCTCTTATGGCAAATCGTCCGTTTTTTTGGTACTCCATTCGAAACTATGATATATCGATCTTTCCATTGATATATCGCTTATTCAATCAGTATATTGACATTTTCATAACATATAATCTTCTATAATAATATCTAATATTTTTAGCATAATGTATAAACCTTTAGCACGATATTCGCTTTTTGGCACGTTGACCAATCATCGAGTTTGACGTTTAATTTTTGACATAAAAAATTTTCAAGCACAACATTCAACTCTCCTACTCAATAATTGGTTCTTTGATGATCTAAAATCCATGATCAAAGTATTTTTTATATCACTTATCTCAAAAATATATTAATCAAATAAACTCATTAATTAGGTTGATCATCAAAATCCAAGATTTAATGAATTTATCTACATTTGCGTTAGCTCAAAATCACTATAGACACCTATTCATTTGATACGTCGATCGAAAACTACTAATGTATATATAAGCTATCGTGCAGTAATCAAAACGTTTAACTTTGACTATTTGATGACGACTCCACAATCAAATAGTGTCTGACAATTTAGAGTGATTACTCAGATGAATAACTCTTCACTTAAAATAAAATAGTTACCTGAACTTACAATAAAAATGTCTTAGGTGTCCTCCTTAAACATCTCCATAGTAGGTTAAGCTCAAAACTTTCTTTTTATTCTTTTTGAATCCTCTCCTAAAGTTTACGAGGGGTGATTTTTGGGGGACACTCCTAACATAATATTTCGTAACCCTCGGTTGAATCCTCCACTGTTTTGATACCAAGATTATCTTTTGATACCAAGATTATGATAAGCTAAGATGCTGGACTAATTTGGTTCTGAAACAATGATGTGGCTGCCTAAAATTATTTTATTTAGAAAGTAGGATAGCAAAAATAATATCGTACTCTACCTAAAAATTATTACATCTATTACTCGCATTTGGGTTTTAAGAGAACTAATATTGTTGATGATGTAAGTTATAATTAAGTCATATAAAGTTATGTTAATGTTACTAAACATGACAAGAGAATATACAAGAGAACAAAGTTTTTTAACCTAAGCTATATTATTATTTATACTCAGTGAGAATTTCTTATGATTGAAGAATATTTTGAATTGAGTAAACAATAATCTCAATGATTAAATAGTTAGTGATATGGGGGTAAGAACATTGACCGACACTTTAGTATCACATGATCAACATCTCGATAGTACACGGCTAACATCTTAAAATCATGTGATCGATACCTCAACACCAAACTAAATATACATTATCATAGGTTGAGTTTGTCATGCCACGATCATAATTAAATCCGGGAGAAATATGAAAATCTCTCATAATTAATATCGACCATGAGAATAATGATACTAGGAACTCTCTATAAAATGACTCTTGTGGTATATCATAAGACATTTCTAAAATATTATAAAAAGCATGATCAGAATAGTCTAAGCCTATTATAGTAAGTTAGAGGAATGATATTGACGAAAATATCTTGATGTAGTTTTAGAAGATTTAATATATCGGAGTTAAACGAGTTTGGTGTCGGTAGAAATCAACCCGGTTCCAAATCGATAACCAACTTAAATAACAAGAATCTAATTTATCATAATTAAAATAATATATTTATCGATATAATTATCCTTGACCCATACCTACTCGGAGAAGGGTGTAAGGCAATAAAATACTTTCGAGGTAAAATGTTTATGAGTTATGATATATTTTCTAGCTAGCATATAATGTTCACTCAAAGTTCAGACCCACCATGCATCATTTACAATGTTTTGATGTCCTACGGATGGCTTATAGAAGTGAGTTGGGTCAAACATCCCTCTCTTGCTTGGAGACGCAGAGAAGAAATCCCCAAAGCAGAGCTTCACTACCAACCCTCCTCCGTCCACCTACAATTTCCGATATTGCTATCTACTTCTGAAATGAAAGCACAACGAAGTTCCAACTGCAATGTCAACTGTCGTGGTTGGTCACTTGACATCCAAGAATAATTTTAGGAGCCTAAAATTGGAAACAAACCTACCTCTCTTAAGCTCTTGCATGCAAACATTGAGTACCATATTAGATATCTTTTCTGATAATTTTCATGGAGGTAGGCCAACATGAGTCAAAGATACTAATAGAATATATGTGTCTACTTTGCCTACACTCTAAAGCTATCATGGACCAGCATCCCTTTCGGATAATCTCATGCACCAAACAAAATTACTACAAAGCTTCTGCTCTTCCTCTATATAAATACATCTCTCCATCTCTCATAGCACCACAACTCCTATCCTCCTTTCTCACACCTCTCTTGTATCGTCGCCACAAGGACCGGAATGGGTTCCTCGTCTTCTCCTTCATGTCTTCTCACTGGGGTCTTTCTTTTCCTATCTGTTTTGGTGTCTGCGTTTCCCAGTGTTGTACAATCCGGCATAACGAGGCACTACAAGTTTGACGTATGTTCTTCATGCTTGTATTCATGCGTACATTTGCATGTACTGCAACTTTCATTGTTGTTTGCAGGTACAAATGGCAAACGTGACCCGACTCTGCAGCACGAAGAGCATCGTGACGGTCAACGGGCAGTTCCCGGGGCCGAGGATAGTGGCCAGAGAAGGCGACCGGGTCGCCGTCAAGGTGATCAACCATGTCCCCTACAACGTCACCATTCACTGGTATGGTATTCTCCATCATGTTAATTAGAGTCCAAGTGAACGAGTAGGTGGAACGTACCAGTCCACAACCACTACCTCTTTTGAGCTCAGGCATGGCGTCCGGCAGCTGCGGAGCGGATGGGCTGACGGGCCGGCTTACGTGACTCAGTGCCCCATCCCGACAGGGCGCAGCTACGTCTACAACTTCACCATTGTGGGGCAAAGGGGGACTCTCTTCTGGCACGCCCACATTTCGTGGCTCAGGGCGACCCTCTATGGCCCCATCATCATCCTCCCCGAGCTTGGTGTTCCCTACCCTTTCACCAAACCCTACAGAGAAGTCCCTGTTATCTTCGGTACCAGCAATCGATCGTCTATTCAATACTGATTAGGACCAGCTTCGCTCAGTCATAAACTTGGTCACTCGTTTTGCACGCAGGGGAGTGGTGGAAGGCTGATACCGAGGCTATCATCCACCAGGCGCTTCAGACTGGCGGAGGCCCTAATGTCTCAGATGCCTACACCATCAATGGTCTCCCGGGTCCCTTGTACAACTGTTCTGCTAAAGGTAGGGCAACGAGAACAAGATAAGGAGTGGTATCACTTGCAGATGACACAACATGCGCGTGGTGCAATTGCAGATACGTTCAAGCTCAAGGTGAAGCCCGGAAAGACGTACCTCCTCCGCCTCATCAACGCCGCACTCAACAATGAGCTCTTCTTTAGCATCGCCAACCACACGGTCACCGTCGTCGACGTCGACGGGGTCTATGTGAAGCCCTTCGACGCTGAGACCCTACTGATATCGCCGGGCCAGACCACCGACGTCCTCCTCCACGCCAAGCCTTATTACCCCGACGCCATGTTCTTCATGACTGCCAGGTCCTACGCTACCGGATCCGGCACGTTCGACAACTCCACGGTCGCCGCCGTCCTCGAGTACCAAAATCCCAGCAGATCATCCCCTGCTGTCTTCACCAAGAATCTCCCGCTCCATAAACCAACCCTCCCGGCATTCAACGACACGTCCTTCGCCGCAAACTTCACCGGCAGGTTACGTAGTCTGGCAACGACTCGTTTTCCGGCCAACGTACCACAGACCGTAGACCGACGCTTCCTCTTCACGGTCGGGCTGGGGACGAGCCCGTGCCCGAAGAACCAGACATGCCAAGGACCCAACGGCACCAAGTTCTCGGCCACCGTCAACAACATCTCCTTCGCGTCGCCGACAACGGCTCTCCTCCAGGCGCACTTCTTCGGGCAGTCGAGGAACGTCTACTCCCCGGACTTCCCCGTCGTCCCTCTGATGCCGTTCAACTACACGGGAACCCCGCCGAACAACACGATGGTGAGCAACGGGACGAAGCTGGTGGTGCTTCCATTCAACACCAGCGTGGAGTTGGTGATGCAGGACACCAGCATTCTGGGGACGGAGAGCCACCCGCTGCACCTCCACGGCTACAATTTCTTCGTCGTGGGGCAAGGGTTCGGCAACTACGATCCGGCGAACGACCCGGCCAAGTTTAACCTAGTGGATCCGGCGGAGAGGAACACCGTCGGCGTGCCGGCCGGCGGCTGGGTGGCCATCAGGTTCTTGGCCGACAATCCAGGTCTGCCTATGAGCCACCCTACGTGAACTGCATGCATGCTAATAGAACGAATGCTCATTCGATCTAAAACTTGGCGTCTCTTGCAGGTGTGTGGTTCATGCACTGTCACATCGAGGCTCACATGAGCTGGGGTCTGAAGATGGCATGGCTGGTCCTTGACGGAGAACTTCCGAACCAGAAGCTGCCGCCTCCACCGTCGGATCTCCCGAAATGCTAATCTCGGTGGTGGATTCACGGCTCGACTAACTTGGATGCTCTCGATCGAAGTTATCATTTTTAATCTCAGTTATCGTGTGTGTCTTTTGCCTTCACAGTGGTGAGCGAGGATTAAATGCTGGATTAACCAACCCGTCTGCTTTTTGTATCAGTGACATGACGATATGAGCCTTCATATCGTCCGGTCTTTTGCTTAATCCGATTCAATAAAACCTAAATTTCTTATTCTCATGTTTGATATGTGTAAAAGATTTTATAATTGTTTATTAAAGTCGTCTGAATATTCTGAGCCGTTCGATCTCTGTTCATTAAAGGAGATCTGACCGTACGTGACCGATGATCCATGTCCGCTTCTCTCCTCCAATCGCACACGTCCTCGCGCTCATAACGCCCCTTCTTTACCATGAGAATCCTAAGCGGACGCCGAAACCTCTCGCCCCATGCCACACCGACCGTTCGTGTCACGTAGCGGCGGGCGGGTCCCATCTGATTCGCACAGTGACCCGCCTGATCTCTTCGGCCCGTACGGGCGTCGGTCCACACCGCTACAGTCTCCTCCTCGCCGACACGGCACCCGGGTGTTCTATAAACCGACAGCCACTTTCCTACCCACGGACTTACCTGGCCCGATATTGAACACAATGTGTGGGGCCCGGGAGTTGATCGAACGGGTGGAGTAAAAGTCCCGAAGAAGGATTTATCATTTTAATTCTTTTTAAGAAAAACCGCGCGAGTTGGCGGTGGCTTTCCCGCCTTCTCACCGACTCAATTCCCGCTGCTTTTTTAATGCGGAGGGAAACGCGTTTCTCGTCGTTGTGGCTTCCATCGAACGCCACAACTTCACTGTTTTCTTTTATCTTATATATTATTTATTTGTTGTTATTATTATTATTAATATAATTTTAAATGCTTCCTCTTTAAAAGCCTCTCAAACCCTTCCCTCCTACCATTCGTTTGAAAGCTTCCCTTTCTTGTTCGTTGGGCCGCACAGTAGGGATAGAGATGTGAATGAAGAAGGCGATGAAGATAGAGCGGCACGAGGGGGAGAGGGAGAGGGAGATGGGAGGGTGGGAAACGCCGAAGAGGGCTGAGTGTCGGATCCCCACGGCGATCCATTGCCCCCCGCCGCCCAAGAAGAAGTCCCCTGCCATGGCGCCTGGCAAGAGGAGGGCTCCCCCCAAGAACGGATACTTCAACCCGCCCGATCTGGAGGTCCTCTTCGCCCTGTCCCAGAGGAGGGAGGCTTGCGTTTGAGCTCCGCCCCGCTCCCACCCGACGAGAGGTCCCCTGCTGCGGCATCCGGCGACCGACCATGAGCGGCTACTCCCACCCACCCGATAACGAGGCCTTCTCTTCCCTGGCGCCGAGGTGGTAGGTACTAGACGTCGCAGTTGTACTCTATCAGATTAGGTTGGTAGCATTACGGCTTCTCGGTTTCTATGAATCGATCGAAACCTTCTTCCTCTGTGATACTAGTGATTTTGATGCCTATAGTGCTCTTAGCGTAGTTGTACTAATAAATGAAGCATTTATGTGCTGGCAAAGAAGGAAAATGTTGGTTTGGGGTCTTTATATTGTCGATGTTGTTGGAATGATGCAGTGATTGCAGCCTTTCTATTACTCGTGGAGAGTGAAGTGATGGGAATATATGGCAATGCTTGCATTGGTAAGAGATGAGAACGATGCTTATTTCATCTGCTTGTCATTGTTGTTTCGCTTTGCTATACACGCACACACAAAGCTTGAATCCCCTTAACCTGTGAATACCCTTCATGATCTTGGTGGAGCACGAATCATGTGGCCCTGATGGATGAACAATTGAATCTTCCCAAGGCAGTGCTGAGTTTATTGGGCAAGTTTTGTCTCTTCTCTTGAATGAATCCTATGGAAGCAAAGATTTTGCTATATTAAAATATCAAAGATAATGCTCTCGATCTCTTAATGTGAAGTCAAAGTGAAAATATTATATTTGATGTAAAATATCAAAGAACTTATTATTATTTAGGAAAATATTATATGAATCAGAGATAATTTAAATAATATTTTTTGAGAAATGATTGCCAACATGGTAAATTAGAAATTATTCTTGACATGTTTACTTGGTAAAGGATGTTTTGGCCTTATTAGTAGGAAATACCATTAATTCTTTATGATTTGTTTTTTCATTGTTGAGATTGATGTGTCACTCGTTATAAAGCTTATATTGTCAAAAGAAAGATGCATAGGAAATGTATCCTAAGAAGATTTTTTTCTCTAATGTTTAAATCATATTTTAGATTTTTTTTCTCTAAGTTGAAATTATTATAATATATTTATTAGATTTTTATAAGTCAATCTTAATCTTTACCCATTTTAAATATGACACTAATCGGGGGTGATACAATCTTTCTTACTCAATTAGCTTAATGTCATTATTAATATAAAATTTCATAGTATAATAAATTAATTTATTATATTTATATCATTAGGGATCACTAATGTATGGATTATGTGGAGGTTAAATTTTATATTTATAAACTTATTAATTATTGTTAACAGTAGCCTTTTTTTTCTTATAAATCAGTCTATATGATGAACTATGGGTGATCTTATTGGTTTATATCGATATATCAATCAATTATCGATGCGATATGTATCGAGTTGTATTGAGCATATTATACATAATACATAAGAGTGTTTCGATGTATCACTCTTATCGATTTTTTATTGGATTAATATGTATCGTGATAAATTTTATTTTATGTGATATTAGAAAAATCATAACAAAGTTTAAAAACACTATAACATAATGTTTTTTTATAATATATTATAGTATTTTTATATTATGAAAAATATTATAATATAATATAAAAATTATAACTAGATCAGTTGGGATGAATCGATAATGAAAAAAAGAGAGAAAGAAAAACCACATATATTATTAGGCAAACAAAATTAAGGGTATTAAGAATTTTTGTAAATAAGAGATATTTTATGAAAAAAGACTAAAAGACAAAACGTTTTTCAGTAATTTTCCCAACATCTCATGATAAAAGTTTACCACTAGTGGTAAATCAAGATGATTTATCCCTTCGATAAAAATGTGACAAAGCACAAAGCCACATTTGCATGATGAATTAATTATGTTAATTATTTTAATACGTGTACAATTCCCGATGTCCCTGTAACAAAGAAAACCATACCTCATCGTCAATCAATCAGTATTTTGTATATTTTAATATTGGCAATAAGCATTGTTAGTGTAAACAATTTTATGCCGTGGCCTCGGGGCCGACGTGGCTCGGTTCGGATCCGGAAGGTGGGATCTTTTCGGTGCGGCCCTCGGGTCCGTCGAGGTGATCGACTGTGGCGGTTTGATGGGGACGGGGGTCGACCGACTTCGTTGGAGGGGGCTCCTCGGCTGGGCACATGCTCCGTCTGCGATCTTGCACACAGGTCGGGTCGGGAGACGTGACCCGACCCCTCCGACGATCGAGTTAGTAGATGGTGGAGGGGGTAGAAAGGAGAAGAGGGGTTTGAGGTGTCTCCCTGGTGTGTTCTCTCCTGCCTCGTCTATTCTCTCCACTTGCTCGTTTAGAGTGCGAGGGTATTTATAGGGGAGCTTGTTGCTGTTTGATGTGCCCGCTTGTAGGAGCAGATGGTGGCGTATAACATTGGTTTGGCATGGCGTGAAGAACTGAGCCTGAGCGGGTGTTAATACGTCTCGGGTTGTGTTCCGGTCCATTTGACCGGGTACCATCACGCCGATCGAGGTGTAAGGCACGATCGACGTCAGCTGGGTCTTATCGTAATTACTATCCTTATCAAGCATCATGCAGTGTTATTGCTTTTAGTATCAGAAACAATAGGGGTAAAATTAGTACAAGTTTATTTACAATTTTATGCTAATTAATTTAAATAAGGCAAATGAATCCAATTATTAGTTTGTCTCATATGAAATTCCAAGAATCACATTATAAGATTAAAAGTTGTCCTCATTCAAATAAATTAGTTATATAGTTGTTTTTTTTCTGTGTAGCCACAACTTGAGGACATTACTATCGCCCTTGTCAAGTTGTTGTTTTCTTTTCCTATCACCCGTAGGTTAACACTTGCTCTTTGTTTATCTAAACTAATTTTATGGGTGCACATGAAATTGGAATCAGCTGCTACATTTTCATGTTGATATGACACATCAAATTTGTCACCCAAACGGATCAGAGATAATATATATCATTCCATCAGAGTCATATGTATGTATACATCATCTTGTGCTTCCTTTTGTCTTTTACACTGCTTACAACTTTTTCTATCTAGTGTTGTCAAATCAACTCAAATTTCAGCTTATCGGTTGTTGATAAATTGGGTGATATGCAAAAGCATGCAATCCTCCCACCGCACCCCCCACTCTCTCTCTCTCTCTCTCTCTCTCTAAATATATATATATATATATATATATCTCTTCAAAAGGCATTAAATTTATTTTTCTTGATTAATTTTTTTATTTAAATAGATTATTTTTTTATTTTTTTAAAAATAAAATTATCTCTAGCTTATACTTTGTCACCTCTACCCTCATCATCCCTTATCGCTTTTGCTTTATTGCTCAGGTTGATCGTTATTTATGTTTCATATTTTTTGGATATTTTTACTTTCATTTTCATTGTCATCCTCACTAGAATGTTTTTATTATTATCTTTACTCGTATATTGATAATAATAGAAGATAAGAACAATAGAATATAAGAAGTTTTATTGAAGAAATGAATAGAGAAGAAGGCTGATAATAATAGAAGATAAGAACAATAGAATATAAGAAGCTTTATTGAAGAAATGAATAGAGAAGAAGGCTACATCAAGGAGGAAAGGTGGGGCAGTGCTGGTGAGCGTAGCACTAGAGAACGTTGGTGCAGAGTGGTAGTGGAGAAGATAGTTACCGTTCGTCGAGGAGAAAAGATTTATCGCACCGATAGCCTGACGATGGAAAAGCAGTAGTAGAAAAAGCACAATGAGAAGAGAGCTTGCTCTAGGCAAGTGACTCTGATACCATGATAATAATAGAAGATAAGAACAATAGAATATAAGAAGCTTTATTGAAGAAATGAAAATACTTTAGCTTGAATACACTAATATATCCCTCTCTTATTTATACAGATTAGGAGAGAAGATTTCTCTCAATAGAATATAGAGATTTTCTTAAATAATTGAGAAAATCTTATCTTCTATCATATGTTTGTTGTTGTCCTCGTCCAT